TCCCAGTAAGCTGGGAAGGAAAAAGAGCTGTCAAGATCTGCACCAGCTCCCTTGCCCGGCTCCTTTGCTTGCCACGCGTTTGTCGAGGAGATGCTGCCCCACTGCCCAAGCCAGAACAGGGAGCAAACCTCACCAGGTGCTCCCCCCGCACTTCCCAGCCCCGGAAGAACCATACACATGCCCCACGGGCTGGGAGCTGCTGTGATCACTCGCAGGGATGCCCACTCTGAGTGGTAATGCAATTTGCACCTTCTGCAAATGCTGAGCTAGATGGTGGTAATGTACTGAAGAGCCGCAGCATTTCTTCAGCGATCATCTCTCTGGCAGGTGCACTACAATCCCCAGGGACAATAAATCCCCCTGGCTCCCCCCTGCTCTGCACAAAGGGTTGCTTAGATGTGGTCTAAGCAGCCCCCAGCCCCCTGTCAAGTCCAAACAGTGGCTCTTGCACTGGACGCTGCTAAAAACCAGCCTGTGTGACCTGACCCCGGCTGTGCTCCCCTCCTGCATGCCCGAAGGGCTCTGGCTAACGAAGGCAGGTCCCCCGCGGACAGCAGCAGCCATCCTTCCCTTCTCTGCCTCTGACATGTGTTAGAGGTCACTTCTAATTAGGCAATTGAATGTGATGGAGTGTGCTCCGCTGGGCCTGCGCCACGCGCCTGGGGAGCCCTGCGAAGGATGGGGTTAGATCCCTCCCCTCCATCACCTGCGGAGCGTGCAGTAACAGCCCCGTAATGCTTGCCTTGTCAGGTCTGATTGCTGCTGCAAATGGCAAGGAAAACATCAAAATGAGTGCAATTAAATCAAAGGGCTCACGTAGCCAAGTAAATAACAGAGCCATAAATGAAGCTGGCAAAGAGGGGCCCTTTTCCAAGCACTTGAAACAACAGCACAAGAATAATTCAGTGCACGAAACGACGGCAACTCTCCTGGGCTTTTGCCATGCAAAGATACGGGGCCGTGAGTGAGGCGGGAGCACAGCACACATGCTGCTCAGCCATCTGATCCAGTAATCCCTGCTGGGCTCTTGCTGTGGCCGCAGCCGCCTCACTGCTGGGTGCCTGTGAAGGGCTCCCAGGCACGGTGTCCTCCCCTCCCCTGGTACCGGCTCAGGTGAGCACATGCCTGTACTCCGCATGCCAAGCCCCAGGGCTTCAGGCCATGCTCAGGATATTCCCAGCCACAGCGCTAAAGACATGACGTCCTTTGTGAATATAGCAGAGCTGGAACCAGGCTCTTGCTGAATTAAAATGAAGCCATGCCCTCGTTAATACGGTCTCACGCCTAATCCATCTCCCTTACCCATCTGCCCATTGTAGCATCCTCCCACCAGGATGTGCGAATCTTTGGGGTTGTATTCCAGGCTCACGAGAGGGGATGACGGCTTGAGAACGAGCTCCGGCTTGTTGGGGTTTTCTGCCAAGAAGGGATGAATAAAGAGCAAAGTGGAAAGGCAGTCCAGAGGGTGAGCTCCCCCACCTCTAAACCAGCCTCCTGATACCGCACCCCGCTCCTCCACACCTGGCTCCCCGCCTCGCCGGTGCTTGCCCAGCCGTGCTGGATGAGGTGGCCATGTCACCAGGACGCCTCACCTTAGCCAGGGAAGAGAGCTGACCTGTCCTCGCCTGCCAGCCTGGGGACAGACCCCTGGTACCCCAACCCCTGGTACCCCGACCCCTCTTCTTTGTGTTTTTCACTCCAAAATACAACAGGTCTGAGAGAGTCTTTGACAGAACAGGGCAATTCTCAGCCTGGGGTTGTGCTGCCTCTTTCTTTCTTAACCAAGCACAAGTGAACCATATAAAGACAAGAACCACATTAGAGGGGTGTGGCTCAGCTGCCTGTTGTGGTCACAGGCACGCTAGCTCATGAAGTCATGTAGTGGGATTTTAGTGGTTATTTTCCACCTGTTGGCCAGCTTTCAGGTCCCATTTCTCCCCTTCTCTGCATTGATCTGTGGGCAAAGCAGAAACCGAACCCCTGTTTACCCCCTCTGGAGCACTGTGAGGCTTCATTACACTCTTTGAAGACACAAAGTGCTTCCGCAGCAGCAGCATTACTGACTGGTGAGTTTTCCCTTCCCCTTACCAAGATCCCAGATGTACGAGTCAAAGCTCATGTCTTTTATGTTTTGCTGGAACTCCAGGCTGGAATAAGCCACTGCCAGTTTCTTGCATGTGTCGGGGTGCCAGGAGAGATGCGTGGCCGTCCTCTTGGTTACATTTGGATCCCTTTTTGATAACAGGACATCAAAGAAAGATGTTAGTTTGCTAACAGCTTTGTCATACCCTGGGATGACCTTTGTCATGCCCTGTCTCCCAAAGGAAACTGTGGGAATCACAATTAAAACAAGCTGCAGCCCTTGACCATTGAGTGCAGGAAACGATTCTCCTGGGGGCTGGGCGGGGGGAGAAGAGTTGATGGTTTAATAAAGTCTTTCCAGTTATACATTTCTAAGAATCCAATTATGTTACTGGATCTGACTCTAGAAATGACCTAACAGCCCTTGACATTTGAAAATAATCTCTGAGGCACCAAAAAAGAAAAAAAAATCCTGTCTAAAGCACTGTTAGAAGATGCTCAGAGCTGCGTCTGTCCTTGGACTGTGGTACCTGTCTCCAAAGTGCCTGGGCAGGGTGGAGGGCAGGGAGGGGAGGAACAGACGGAGTTACGGAGCAGGGGGGCTGCAGCAGGTCTCTCCATCCATAAACTGATCCAGCACTATCCTAAAGCCACTGGGTTTTCCACCTCCTTTGTCTCCAAAGGCAGTTTAATATGCAGTAGCCCGCTGCGGATCTGGAGAGCCTGGTGAGCCCAGATGATTGTGCTACCTGATGACGTTGATGGTTTTTGCAGAGGGGGCCTCATCTTCCACCTCTGCCATCTCCTCCTCTCCAAAGTACTCCTCATAGATGTTGATGGCATTGTTCTGCTTGACGCAGTGCTCCATCAGCTGCAGGGAAAGCACAGGCAGAGGCCGTGCCTCTGAGGAGCTGCCTAGGTGAGGGAACCGGCAGCGGGCAGGCAAGGGGGCTCTGGGAGCGGGAGGTGAGGAGGGAGCATGGGCAGGGCCTTACGGTGCCGAGGTGCGTGATGGTGTTGATGTAGTTTTCATCTTTCTCCGCTTTCTTCTTGAAGCGGATGGTTTGTTCCACCTCCTGTGGGTTGATGTCTTTGGGCCAGCCGCCCTCTACATGGTTGACACCGCGGGATTCCACCTCCACCCGCTCGGTGTTGACCTGGGGAGTGGCACGGAGAAAGCAGAGCAAGAGATCGAGCTGAATGGGAACAAACCACAACTTTTCCCCTTCGTATGGCACTGCCCTGCAGAGCAGTAGCCTGGGAGGCCCTCGATGGCTGGCGGGCAGCCCTCACCTCGTGCTCCGACATGTCGCTGGCGTGCTGGACGGAGCTGTCCACGGGGTTCCTCAGGACGAAGCCGCTGGCCATGCTGGGGTCGGGGGGGATGTCCACGCTGACCTTGGCCGGCAGAAGCTGCAGGGCCGGCCGAACTCGCTGCGCTTCCGCGTGTACACGTAGACGATCTCCATGGCGGCCCTGTGAGGGGGTGGCAGGTGCCCCTTCCTCCCCCAGCCCTGTGGGGTCCTGCTGTGTGTGTGGGAGGCCTGCAAGGGACCGGGGGCCTCAGAGGGCGCCCACGGCGGCGGGGGACACCGGGTAGGGCCTGGCCTC